GCTGCATAGGACGAAAGGGTGCCCGTGGACAGTCAGCACACCTGTATTTCACCAGGAGAGGGTGGAGTCTCTGACAGGCAGATACGTGATGGTTCAAAGCCGCAGGTCTGCTAATAAGAGGCTGAAGGGCGGACCCACGTTTGTCCAGTCCGAGAGTTTGCTCACTCTCCTGATCCACTTTTTCTCTGGACAGTTAAGCAGAGAAACTTGAAAGTTCTTGCCTTGCTTCTTGACCTGATCTCTGAGTGGAGAACTCTTCTGTAATATGTCTAAGACAGTTCCAGAAGAAATCCAAGTAAAAAAAGTCTTTTTTTGTGCTGGTCCTGGGGCTTGATCTCAGGGCCTTGGTGCTGTCCCTGAGCTTTTTTACTCGGAGCTGGTGCTCTTATCACTTGAGCCACAGCCCCACTTCTGGCTTTTTGGTGGTTCATGGGAGATCAGAGTCTCACAGACTTTCCTGTCCAGGCTGACTTTGAACCGCGATCCTCAGATCTCAGCATCCTGAGTAGCTGGGAGGACAGGCGGGAGCCACTTTTGCCCAGATTTCTTAGCTCTTTGGATTCCAGAGTAAGCATGAGCTGAAAGTGGGCTTCTATTCTACCTCTCTTTTTCCCCCTCACTCCAAGAAAAGAACCCGAACTGCTCCCCTTCTCCCGTTCATTCTCTGAGACCTGTGTCATCGGCAGCTCGTCTGTGACAGGACCTGGCCGTGTCCGAGTGAACACCTCTGCCGTCCTATTTCTGAAGCAGATCTCCCAAGGCATCTGCCCTTGCTGGCATGGTGACTTTGGAGACAAAGTTCTGCTGTGCTGCCCAGCCTGGCCTCAGACTCCTGATCCTCCTCGGCCCAGCCCTCACTTCTGCGAAAACTTAGCCCAAGGCCTCAGATCCCTTTCTGAGTGTTTGCATCCCACCTGTGTGGCTCTGAGGGCTTGGACCCTGCTTCCGCGTCCCTTCTAGATGGGGCCAGACCTCCCCACTTCCTTCCCTGTTGTATCGTGGTTTCTGATCTCTCCATTTCTGTAGCTGTCAGTAGGGGGCAGGGTTGTGGTAAGGAGGTTGCGTGGCATATAAATATTTCTAAAAGACAGCACACCTAGCTGGGGGTGGTGGCACCTCCTCTGTAATCCCAGTGCTGGGGAGGCTGGCACAGGAGGATCGTGAGTGGAGGCCAGCCTGGGCTACGTGAGTAGCTGGCATTCTAGTTGTGAGCCACCGGCACTGATTGAACTTTTATAGTTTTTGTTCATTTGAACTTTCATCTTCCTATCTGACACACTTTTCTACCTTTCCACATAAGGGACTTCAATGGCCTCATCTCCAGCTGCTGTCAAATTGGAATCGCAGCCCTCGCCCAGCAAGGTTGCGCTTTCTTCCAAGGCTCCTAGAACACCAGCACAAAGACGCAGCCCTGCAGCCGAAAGGAGGAGACCCACGTGGGTCCCCCCAGGTAGGGGCCCCCGTAGCCGCTCCAGCTTGCCCCGCGTGCGCCCACGGCAGTCCTAGGAGTGCTGGGCCCCATATGCCGGGTCAGCACGTGTTGTGGGAGACTCGTGTTCTCCGTTACTCACCCTGGGCTCGTTTGCCAGCCATGGTGTGGATGGTGCAGATCATTGGATTTTTGTTTTATTTATTAATTTTTATTTATTTTTTTGGTGGTGGGGCTTGAACTGGGGGCCCGAACGCTGCCCCTGAGCAATTTTGCTCAAGGCCAGTGCTCTACAACTTTGAGCCACAGAACTTCCAGTTTTCTGGTGGTTCATTGGAGGTAAGAATCTCACGGACTTTTCCCACCCAGGTGGGCTTTGAACCGTGATGCTCAGATCTCAGCCTCCTGAGTAGCTGGGAGGGCAGGTGTGAGCCACCAGCGCCTAGCTCCTCTTTTCTTTTTAGTTCCTTACGCATCCTGTTGATTGGGTTTGCTTAATCTGTGTGCCTTCCCGTCTGATACGTCTTCCTTCACATCCTCTCTTCCTGAGCCCTTCATGAAGCTTCCTGAAGTTCACATCTTTAGCCTTTTTCTGATTGGCCTCCACCTTGAGTGATCGCTAGGGATTGGCACTGGGTAGCGACTGTTCATCCAACTTGTCTGTATTCACAGACATCAACTGTTGAGTCCTTTCTGATTTCAGAGTCCTCGGGCCTTTTGATGAGGACATAAAAGGCTTTAGAGAAGCGGAAGGGGATGGTTAGTGACTGACATCAGTGCACCATACATAGCACAGCAATCTGATCCTTAGTTCATTCCTTGTGAGCATAGCAGCTCTTCCGTGGAGGAAAGAGAAATGATCGTGATTTGATGAAGACGCCTCAGGCTCATCAGCTGACACACCGAACAGAAGCCCCTTGGTACAACACATACAGGTTTTAAAAACCGAAACGACACAATCACTGTGGAAGTCAGAGAGATGGAAGGGCCCTGCAGGGGTGCTGGCCGGCTGGTGTCAGAATGCATGTGCATGTGGTGTTTACAGCCTTCCCATATGGCGAGGGTTGGGGGGAGGTGTAGGGCTGATGTCCCTGGGGGCCCAGACCCTGGGACAGACAGTGGGACAGCGTGGGCCCGTGGTAGACTGGGCCTTTTGCCTCTTAAAGTCAAGGAGCTGAGTTTCTCCAGTCCGTGGACCGCCCTGGCTTGGAGCCAGCAGGGTGTCTAATTTTGGCATTTTGTACTTTGGTTTTTAGATTAAGGATGCTCAGCCTGTGATCTGCTCTCTTGCTTCCTCTCTCTCTTTTCGTGTGGTGGTAGTAGGGCTTGAACTCAGGGCTTGAGCACTGCTCCTTAGCTTGCTCTTTTTCTCTTTTTTTTTGTCATGGGGTTGGAACTCTGGGCCTGGGCGCTGTCCCTGAGTTCTTCTGCTCAAGGCTAGTGCTCTACCACTTTGAACCACAGCACCACTTCCGATTTTCTGGAAGTTAATTGGAGATAAGAGTCTCCTGCACTTTCCTGACTGGACTGGCTTTGAACTTTGATCCTTGGATCTCAGCCTTCTCAGTAGCTAGGATTACAGATGCGAACCACTGGTGCCTGGCTTCCCCGAGCTTTTTCACTCAAGGCTTGTGCTCTACTATTCGAGCCACAGCTCCACTTCTGGCTTTTTGCTGGTTAATTGAGATAAGATCCTCCCGGACTTTCCTGCCCAGGCTGCCTTTGAACTGCGATCCTCCGACCTCAGCCTCCTGAGCTGCTAGGATGGCATGAGCCACCAGGGCCCGGCATTGGTCTCCAGTCTCCAGTCCTTGTCTTTTCTTCTGCTCTTGCTTAGCGTTTGGTGAATTCTGGGAAGCAGAGCCATGCTTCGGCTACTCCTGCTTTTCTGTTGTTAGCAATTCATGGTGTGCTCTCTTTCAGCCCCGTCTGGAAACAGCAGCAGCCGGGAGACTGGAGGCTCTGCTCCACCCCCTAGTCACAGTCTCCGCCTCGGCCTGTCCCGATTGGCCCGCGTGAAGCCTCTGCACCCCAGCGCCGCCAGCAGCCACCCGTGGTAGCAGCCAAACGGCTGCCCGCAGTTCTTGAATGTACTTGCATTTGGTGCGTGTTTATAGTTGAAGATGGATGGTAGCCAGGAATCCCGCCATGCCTCGAAAACAGTGTCCCCTGTGAGTCTGTGAGTGGCACCTGTTTTCTCCACCAGGAGGAGGTTTTCTTAGGCGAAGCGCTCAGCAGGGCCTTCCCAGTCTGCGCGGTTCATCTCCAGGAGCTATTCCTGACATCAGTAGGGTTGCTCCAAAGCTCCCCTACCCGTTTTCCCTCAAGGGTCTTTTGTACTTGAGCCAAATCTTCCCCTAGGGAGAATTCCGAATGCTGAAAATGACATCGAAATGTCTAGAGCACGCAGAATGGAGAGGGCCCGTTTTAGGAACTCTTCACTGTCAAAACCGTGAATAAACATGGGAAAGTTCCGAGACGGTCTTCTTCAATAGCATCGCACCCACGTGTCCTAGTGTACGGGTCACAGCCATGTGAGAGTGTGAGGAGGAGTCCTGGCTCGTGGCCAGCCCAGGCCTTGGGACCTGCCTTGCCCTGTCCCCGCTGGCCCGAGCCGTTCTTTGAAGAGGTGGGGGCCCTGGTGTGGCCGGAGACGCGACTCCAGGAGGCTTAGATCAGAATTGGTCGCGACTCAGAATACCAAGGCGTCCTTTATATTTATGATGAGAATTTTAACTTCCACCTGTGTGTGTGTGTGTGTGTGTGTGTGTCTGTCTGTCTGTCTGTCTGTCTGTATGCGTGCTGGTACTGGGGCTTGCACTCAAGACCTGGCTTTTTCACTCACCACTTGAGCCACGCCTCCTCTTCTGGCTTTTTGCTCTACCATCTGAGCCGCAGTTTCACTTTGGCTTTTTAGTTTGAATTTTAATTTTATGGCAAAGATGGTGTACAGAGGGATTACAGTTACATAAGTGAAGTCACGTGTGTATTTCTTGCCAAACCTCCTCCCTCATTTTCTCCCACTTTCCTTCCCCACCCCCAGCTCCCCCTCCTCCATGTTGTTTTGTTTCTGTTTTTTTTTTTCTTGGTGGTTGATTAGATATGAGTCTTTTAGACTTTTTCTGCCAGGGCTGGCTTTGAACCACGATCCTTCGATCTCAACCTCCTGAGAATCTAGGATTCCAGCCACCAGCCACCAGCTTCCTGAAACACACTCTCAAGTTTCGTTCTTCTCCCCTAATGCCTCACTCCCACATTGCTTTTCCCCCCGAGTTGGGGTTGGTTTCCCACCGCTCCCTCCACTGGTCACTCAGGGACAAGAAAGAGAGCGGGAGGAGGAAAGGCCCCGAGCGGGAGGAGGAAAGGCCCCGGGTGTTTTTAGGCTGATGGGAAGGGTGGTTGGGACTGAAGCAGGGCCTCAGAGCACTCATCTCTGGAGTCACAAAAAGGGTGAGATGTGTTACCACAGCAACGGAAGGAGGAGGGTGTGGCCCCGCCCTCCCCAGGCAGGTGGCTCACCCTCCCTCTCTCCCGGAGCAGCTGTAGCAGCCCAGTAGTCTGCGCCAGCCTGATGCAGCTCCTCACTCCTCCCACCCCTACTGGGACAAAGTAAGGGTCTCCCAGGCACCAGGGATTGGTGGGGAGCGGGGAGGGTGTGCGTGTGTGTGCGTGCGTGTGTGTGTGTGTGTGTGTGCGTGCGTGCGCGTGCGCCAGCCCCAGCCGTGCCCCAGCCTTTCTAAGGGAAAACAAGTGCAGAAAGAGCTGATTTCCAGCATGGCCCCAGGAGAGAAGGAGGGGTGTGAATGCACGGGGGAGAGAGAGCTTGTTCCTGTGTGTGCGTGCGCACATGCGCGCATGCGCGTGCATCTGGGCCACACATACCTTCTGTTCGGTGGCTAGCGCATCTCCCCCAATCCCAGCCACGCATGGGCGCAGGAGATGAAGGGTTACAGCGAACTCTGTCCCCGAACCCAGGACTCCAGCCCTGACGTGGCAGTTCCTCCCTTCCCCCATCTTCCTCCCAGTGCTGTGAGCCCGTGTGCGTCCTCCTTTGCATGGATGAGCATCCGACCCCCAGGAAGTGTGTTCCCACGACCCCCGTGACCCCAGAGCACGGGAGGAAGGGCCGAGACCCACCACTGGAATCCTGCCTTCCTCACCAGGCGCTATTTGCTCCCATTCTAGGGGACTTCTCAGTATTAGACTTATTACTGTTATTTTTTTCCTCGCAAAAGTGATGAACAGCTCAAGCTTCTGAGAGTGTTTCAAGTCTAGTGAGTTTGTGGCATTCACAGTGGTTGAGACCCGTAGCCAGTCTATCCAGGCTTAAGAGATCTTGCGTCCCTCCCCCCCCCCCCCCCCCCCCCACTGGCATGGTTTAAACAAACCTCCTACGTGACTTTGCTGTGCAGTCTCCAGGCTATTTTGAGTGGGAACACTTGAGCTGTGGACATTCAGGTGCGAAGCCCTGGCTTGTGACACAAGAGTCACCTGCTGTCGAAGGAGGTGACGGAAGGTCTAGATGCTCTAGGGAATCGTGAAGCGTGGATTATCTCTCACCGGCTTTGGGGTTTAAGCCTCTGTCTCAGTCCTCACTCAGACAGCAGAAGAAACCTGAAGAGTCTCTAGCAAGATGCCAGCCACCCCCCGGCCTTTGCCCTCTCCAACTCCGTAGTGTTGTCTATAATCTGGCTAAAATGCAAGGCTGACCAAACTTGCAAGGGACCCAGGACAGGAGTTGGGATTTTCCGCTGAATCCTCCGTGTGGGGGTTGAAACCAGCAAGTGTGAATCCGGGCTGCAAAATACAAACACCACGCCCCCCCGCCCCCCTGCCCATGGCCACCAAGGGACGTAATGATACCACTGACTGACTGGCATGTGACCAGAACACAGCTAGACTAGAAAACTAAGAGACCACTTTAAGAGAAAGACACACCCACAATCGTGTGCACACGCATACACACAACAGAGATGAAGGAAACAAACTGCATGCTTCCACGGGCAAAGTACTGTGGGAGAAGAAGACGCCCCGAAGAATGTTGGGAGAAAACCCCAAGGAATGCTGGGAGAAGATCTGGTGCAGAAGAGGGAAACAAACCCAGATCTTGAATGCTCAAGAATTCTTGAGATGAAAGGAGAGCGGATTAGTTCTTTGTACTTTGCAGACAAGAACAAGGATGTGTGAAGGACATTTTGCTCAATCTTAATTCTCCTCATTGATATTTGCCAAGTACCTGTGAGCTGGATTGCTTGAAAAATGGTCCATGCTGCTGGGAGAACTATTCCAGCCACAGACTGACTGCCATCAGGAGAAACAACAGGAAAGATTGTTGCTCTGAGTGGGAAAATGGGTGAGATGGTGTCTAAAGCCTCTTCCAGGTCTTGAAAATCCACAAGTTGCGTGACTCATGCCTATAATCCCAGCTACCCAGGAGGCTGAGATCTGAGGATCGCGGCTCACAGGGGAAGGAAAGTCCCTAAGACCGTTATCTCCAATGAGCCACCAGAAAACCGGAGGTGGAGCTGTGGCTCAGCGTGGTAGTGGAAAAAAGCTCAGGAACAGTGCTGAGACCCTGAATTCAAGCCGCAGGACAAACAGCAGACAGACAGACATACACGAAAACAAGAACATCTAATAACATAAAAATAAAAGTATAATCATGCTCCATTGAAAGACCAAACCTATAAATCTCAGGCAAAAGCGAAGAGGTGCATATCTTATTTCATAAGATAGTAAAGTTTCCTAAGTCTTGAGACATAGTTACGTAGATCCTAGAGGATTTTTAGGACAACATACAAGAAAAGAGGTTCTTGATGTCTTTTCGTAATTAAAACATTGGATAGATGTGACTTGCACGTAGAAATTTCTTTAGGAAGAGGGGTGGGGGAGAAATAAGGGGGTAAGGTTGATTCAGTGGACATTGTATTCACATGTAAAAGTGTCACCGTGGATCCCCTTATACGACTAGTGTGTGTGTGGATGAAATTTGTGTAAGAAACTCACGGAAAGAATGTTGAATGCTACAAGAAAGAATACCAAGTCACCTATAGAGATGCACCTCTAGATGATGTAGGTGTAGCTCTGAATATAACTGCTAACTAGCTGACTGGGCCCAGCAAAGCTGGCCTTCCCAATGGAAGGAGAAATGAAATCACAAGGAAATCATATTCATCAAACCAGCACTGCAGATGAAATCTGGGAAAATTCCTTCACACAGAAACGGAAAATAAACACAACTTGGAAAATACCATGAAAGTAAAGTCAGGAGTGTGTTAGGAAAGAGAGAAGTTGGAATTGAAAGCGTGGCTCAGTTGACAGAGCACTCGCTGATGAGCAGAAGTGTCAGGTACCGAGTTTGAGTCCCAGTCTCAGACCTACAAGAAAAAAGTAAAGAAGGGAGAATTTAGGAAAGGCTCAAACAATCATAACACTTGAATGGCAAAGTTATTCTCCAATCAAGACGACAGTGAATAGGATTGGAGAAAAAAAAGTTTTTAAAAACTTAAGGATTTATTGACTACACAAAACATATCTCGCCGACAAATCAGAGGTAAACTTCAAATGAAAGGCTGGAGAAAGGTTTTTCTAAGCAAAGGAAGCCAAAAGATGGAGACAGGAGCAAATCAGTGAAAATACTAAAAACGTAACAAGTAGATTTCCAGAAATGTATTTCCCTGTCTAGGCACCAAAGTGCATATACAATAAATACTATGTAAGCCATGTGCCAGTGGCTCATGCCTGTCATCCTGGCTACCCAGGAGGCTGAGATCTGAGGATCATGGTTCAAAGCCAGCCCGGGCAGCAAGGTCTGTGAGACTCGTATCTCCAAGGAACCACCAGAAAGCCAGAAGTGGAGCTATGGTTCAAAGTGGTAGAGAGCCAGGCTTGAGCAAACAAAGCTCAGGGACAGTGCCCAGGCTCCGAGTTCAAGCCCCACAATTGATAAAAAGTAAATGCTATGCAATGCAGAGGTGCTGGCCCCAGTGTGTGTGTAGGGGGTGGGGGGCGGGGTGGGGAGAGTGTCCCTTTGAGAAGAGGGACCCATCCATAGACAGGAAGCTATGTGGGTTGCCCCGGGTCCCCCATTTACAGGGGACCGTCGTGTGGCTGAATGTGTGGCTGGGTGTCTTTCCCCGCCCCGCTCCTTCCTGTCTCTCCCCCTACTGCCTGGAAAACAAGAGGAGAAGTCGAAACTCCGCTCAACTTTCCTCCAAATCCTCCATCCATGAGGACTGTGGGCGGTTTACCTGTATTTCTCTCCTACTGCTGACTACACGCTCTGCCTCTTTTGCAGGACTCAAATGGATGCTAGAAAGCCAAAGAAATGCAGTGTGACTTCCTTCCCAATTTTGAAAACAAGCAAGAAACAAAATTTCACTTCGATGAAGGTAAGGAGTTTTGAATTTCAACTGGAGGAATAGAGCTGTCTGTCTGTCTATCTATTTATAAGCTAGCTCTGTCCATTGATCTATATCTTATCTGTCCATCCATCCATCCATCTCCATCCATCAATCTATATCTATCCATCCATCTATCCACCCACCTCTATCCATCCATTTCTATCTGTCTGTCATCTGTCTGTATATCCACCCGTCCTTGTGTCTGTCTTCTGTATCATGTGTCTGTCTGTCATGTCATCTTTAGGTAGTTGTGCAAGGGTTTCCATTCAACGTGCCAGTTTGTGACAACATGTCGCCTTATCCTTTGTCCTTCCAAATCTCTCCACCCATCCACCCCTCAAGTTCCCTTCCATTTTCCACCTATCTGCAGCCAATATTATCCCTGCATTGGAAGACGGTTTTTAATCCTTGCAAACAAAACACCCATTTTGTTTTGTACAAACTGCTTTTTTTGTTTTTCGTCCGTCGTGGGGCCTGAACTCTGGGCCTGGGCGCTGTCCCTCAGCTCTTCAGCTCAAGGCTAGCGCTCTACCCCTTGAGCCACAGCGCCACTTCTGGCTTTTACTGCTTCTGTGGTGCTGAGGAATCGAACCCAGGGCCTCAGGCATGCGAGGTGAGCGCTCTACCACGGAGCCACCTTCCCAGCCCCAAACTGCTTTTTTTAATGACTAAATCAAGCACTACCCACAATGCACAAGTACACACAGACAGACTTGAATGACAAGCCACAAGTGTCATTTAGAATGGGTAGCCTGACGCAGGCTGGCACACTGCGCCACATGGTGTTAAGTTGGGTAGGAATCTGGGGCAGCCCCACCCCCCACCCCAGGGGCCGGCACTTACTTCTTCCCCTTCTCTCCTAGGGCCCTACTGTCCCTTCTGACATCTACATGGTAAGTTCTAGTTCTTTCCTTTACATTCTCATTGATGCTCTAATTCCCCCCCCCTTTGGTACTGGTATTAAGGCTTGAACTCAGGGCCTCGGTGCTGCCCCTTCTTAGCTTTTCCCACTCATGGTTCGGTGCTCTACCACTTGAGCCACAACTCTACTTCCAGCTGTTTTTGCTGGTTCATTGGCGATAAGAGTCTCTCGGACTTTGCTGCCCCTGCTAGCTTTGAACCGTGATCCTCAGATCTCAGCCTGCTGAGTCGCTGGGATGACAGGTGTGAGCTACGGTTCCCAGCGTGGTGTTGTTGTTTTTGGTCCGGTCCTGGGGCCTGAACTCTGGGCCTGGGCGCTGTCCCTCAGCTCTTCAGCTCAAGGCCAGCGCTCTACCACTTGAGCCACAGCACCACTTCCGGCTTTTTTCTTTATGTGGTGCTGAGGAATCGAACCCAGGGCCTCGAGCATGCAAGGCAAGCGCTCTACCACTGAGCCACCTTCCCAGCCCCTGTAGTTGTTTTTAAGAAATGGTTTTTATGATTGCATATATTAGAGGGATATTTAAGGAATACATGTGAGCCACAAAGCAGCACACAGTGGACATTTATCTCTGCAGGTATGTGCGTGTACCCAACACAAGGGTTAAGAAGTCCCCAAGTGTCCCTCCCTCCTCACTATGTCCTCAGATGCATCCTTGTCCCTCCGGCCCCACCCCCATCGTAAACCATCTCTTGAACTTCGCATCTATTATTCCCATTGGTTTTTCTCTCTGTTTCCAAATCTTGTAACACGTGTGTCTGCCAACCGTGTATGGCCTTTCATTTTCATAGACAAGAAAACATACCGTTAAGCATTCTTGGTGTTTAGGCTCAGCACCAAACCAGCGTCCCAAGACTGAATTCAGCCTTCTCCTCTCTCCCGGCCAGGCCGGCCTCTAGTCTCAGATTATTGTCCGTGCTCCGAGTCTCCGATAGCATGGATGCACGTGCTGGTGGCTCACGCCTGCTACTGAGATCTGGAGGATCACGGTTTGAAGCCAGCCAGGAAGGAAAGTCCATGAGACTCTTATCTCCAGTCAACTACTCAGAAAAAGCCAGAAGTGGCGCTGTGGCTCAATGATAGAGCACTGACCTTGAGCGGAAAAAGCTCAGGTATAGCACCCATGCCCTGAGTTCAAGCCCCAGGACTGGCACAAGAAAAAAAAAACACAGTGCAGGTCTGCCGGTACAAATGTATAGGCAATTCCGAACTTATTCTGGGTGTCAGACTATATGAATGTGGAATTGCACGAGACAGTGCCAATTCGTACCTGTGTGTCTCGTCACCAGCCACGTGACAATTTGTTGTTCCCACTTCTTTGCAATTATTACCGATTTTGGGGGAATCATTTTCCGTTGTTATTTTCACTTGGATTTTGGTTGATGGTCATGACTGAGTTTAAACTTCCTTTGATGTATTTATTGGTCATTTGTGTTTCTTAGTGTGTGTGTGTGTGTGTGTGTGTGTGCATGCATCTGTGTGTGCTGGTCCTGGGACTTGAACTCAGGGCTTAGGTACCGTCCCCAAGCTTTTGTCCTCAAGACTGGAGCTCTACCACTTGAGCCACAGCTCCACTCTGGCTTTTGGTGGTTCCTTGGAGAGCTGAGCCTCATGGACTTTCCTTGACTGGACTTGCTTTGAAGCCTCCATCCTCAGATCTCCTGAGTAGCTGGGATTACAGGCGTGAGCTACAAGGTCGCAGCTCATTTATGTTTCTTTAAATTGACTGCTCCTGTTTTTATTGTTCAAATGTTCTTCTATGAGGCTGTCTCGCTGATTGGTAGGTTATTTTCTATATTTTGTCTCCTGATCCTTTGCCAGTTTTATGCGCATCAAATACCCTTCTCTTGGTCTTGCTGCTTGTCTGATTAGTGTTTGTGTGTGTGTGTGTGGGGGGGGGGGGGTTCTAGTGCTTGAACTCAGGGCCAGGGTGCTATCTCTTAGCCTTTTCACTTAAGGCTGGCTGGTGCTTTTCCACTTGAACCACAGCTCCATTTCTACCTTTTTGGTGGAGATTAGATTCCCATGGACTCTCCTGCGAGGGCTGGCTTTGAACCATGATTCTCAGATCTAATCCTCCGGAGTAGCTAGGATTACAGGTGTGAGCCACTGGTGCCCGGCTTATAGTTACTTTTCTAGAGCAGCTTTAGAAAAATGGAACAGAAAATTTGGGTTTTCTTGTGCTTCATACAATACCTTACATTAGTGTACAATTGTTACAATTGACGAGCTCAAACTAATGCACTATTATGAACTAAAGTACATAGCTCACATTTGTGGTTATCATTTTGTACATTCTTTGTTGTTGTTGTTGTGGCTGGTCCTGGGCCTTGAACTCAGGGCCTGGGTGCTGTCTCTAAGCTCCTTTTGCTCAAGGCTAGTTAGTGCTCTACCACTTGAGCTACAGCACCATTTCTGGCTTTTTCTGTGATTAATTGGGCTTAAGAGTCTCACTTACCTTTTTGCCTATGTTGGCTTCAAACCTGATCTCAGCCTGCTGAGTAGCTAGGATGACAGGCGTGAGCCGCCAGTGTCCAGCCTGGCTGTGTTACACGTACTTTGGTCTTCCTGCATCCCCTCCTCCCTCCTCCTCCTCACCTCCCTCCTCCCCCGCCCCCAGGACTGGGATTTGAACTCAGAGCGTGACCCTCACTTGGACTGCTTGCTGGCGGCTGGTACTCTACCACTCCAGCCATGCCTCTAGCCTAGGCTTTTTGCCGGTCAGTTGGAGGTGGAGTCTCACAGACTCTTCTGCCCAAGTTGTCTTGAAACCATGACCCTCGGGATCCCAACCTCTAGAGTAGCTAGCTGAGCCCACGAGACCCCGGTGCCTGCACGTGGCTGGGATTATAGCTTTGCACTACCCTGCTACACGTCTTCCCAAGAAGTAGACATTGGGTGCTGCCCCAGAGCACGAGGCCGTGCCTCAGTGACCAGTGTTGTTGCTCGAGGATGCTGAGTGTGAACCGGGAGGAGGGACTTCCGGCCGAAGACACAATGAGCAGAGGCCGGAACTAACCCTAACCCAACGTGCAGATCGAGCCCCGGCCGGCACTGCTCGTGCTCGGACTTCACCTCGCTTTCTCCGTCTGTGAGATGAGCTCGCCAGCCTCGGGGTCCCCGGGGTCACTGCTGGCATGGGGATCTTCCAGGCTGCATGAAATGGGGTCTCCCCGTCCCACCCCAGAAACACGCCCTAAGTGAATTCTAAAACACGGCCAGCTTCTTCTTGCCCTCCTCCCAAGAGGCTGGGGCCACCTTCATTCCACTAATGGGTCTCCAGGGCCCAGCCTGGGGTCTCCAGGGCTTTCTGGATGTGAAGGGCGGCGATATGGCTACAAGCAGCAGTATGGGGTGGGGAATCTATTATTTTATTCTTTTTGCTGGTTGTGGGACTTGAACTCAGGACCGGGGTGCTGTCCCCTGAGCTCTTTGGTTCAAGGCTAGCGCGCTACCACTTTGAGCCACAGCCCACTTCCAATTGGATAATTGGAGATAAGAGATCAGAGTGTCACGGACTTCCCTGCCCGGGCTGGCTTCGACCCCCAATCCTCCGATCTCAGCCTCCTGGGTAGCTGGGATGACAGGCGGGACCCACAGGGATCTTGATCTGCCTCCAGCTCTTGTCTTCCTGGCTTGTGTTTGGTAATGAGTCCCTGAAGGCTTTTCTTTCTTCTGTTCACACCCCCTGACTACTGACCACATTTGTTTTGTTCTCTTGGTTGTCTGGTCTCTGGAGGGGGAGGAAGTTGGGAAGGGCCGTCTGTCCATCCAGCCACATTTGGGCATTGGGGTTTCTCTTCTCTAATTATTTTTGGATGAGGAGGAGGACCAGGCCGGGAGGAGCTAGTTGGGAAGTTGGGAGAACAGCAGGCGGGTAAGTATGACATCATGAAGTGGGTCAATCACAGAGGCGTCTTTTTTATTTTTTTGTCGGTTGTGGGGTTTGAACTCTGGGCCTGGGCGCTGTCCCTGAGCTCTTCAGCTCAAGGCAGGCACTCTACCACTTGAGCCACAGCGCCACTTCTGGTTTCCTGATGGTTCCTTGGAGATCAGAGTCTCATGG